GAGAGAGAGAGAGATGGAGTTTTTGAGATAGGGTGTCATTTTAGTATTTGTTTGGGTAAAAAAATATATGGTCAAAGGGGTCCATGGGGTTGTAAGATAGAAAAGATGAAGATATTTTGCTTACAAGCAATATTTTCAATTCTTGGGTCTCATGATATATAGAAGTTAAAAATAGAAGATAAGGAGATATTTTCTCTAGATATAATATATAAATATCTTATATTGTATTATATTATAAATAAAATATTTATTAGATTAAATAAAATATTATATATAATATAACAAACAGTAATATAAATGCTATATACATAATATACAAATATCTGATATTATACTATATATTTTATATGATATACAAATATTTTATATTATATTATAATAAATATTATATATTACAAATATACATTAATAAAATATATAAAATGTATTATATTATATATTGAGTAATGATCCTATAAGACCCTCTCCCACCCATGTGTGTAGGACCCCAAAGGATCACCATTAAAGTTGACATGGATTTCTAAAAAAGTTATCACATGGGTGTGAGACTTGACTTTTCTATAGATCCGTGTTAAATTTAATAGTGATCATTTGAGGTCATACACACATGGGTGAGGGAGGGTCCTATAGGATCATTTCTCTTATATATTATATTATGTTATACATTTATATTTGTATGGTTAATATGTATATGTTATCTAACGCAGTACTCATAATTTATTTAAATCTTCAAGAATAATACATTCAACTTTCCATAATATATCATTCAAAAAAATAAACGTGCCTTAAGGGCCTGTTTGGGAACATGGATTTCGAAACATAGATTTATAAAATTCTAAATACTATCCAAATCCACTATTTGGATTACTTAAAGACCAAGATATCAAAAATCTGGAACACTAAAATCATGGAAATGTGGCTTACTTTTCCATGATCACATTTTCAACAAAAAAAAAACCTCATTATTTGCATTTTTACACCGCAGAAACTCCGTCTCCGTCACTCGTTTTAATTTCATAACTATGAAACCTCTCTCTCTCTCTAGCCCACTCCACTCCACAGCCCGTGCTATCTCTCTCTCTAACCAGGTAATTCCTTCATGGTCATTCTCTCTCTAAGCCTTCTCTCTCATGCCACAGTCTCTTCTACCTCCCATTCTTTCTCTAACCATGTCACGGCCTCTACTCTCTCTAAGCCCTTTCTCTCAACCACAAACTCTCTCTCTCTCTAAGCCCACAATCTAGTCTCCCTCCTATGCTCTCTCTAACCACCTCCCTCTCTGTAAGTTCCGTCTCTCTCACTCTTTAGGGTTTACTTAGCTATCTCTCTTACTGTTCCCCAATATCTCT